CCCAAGCGAAATACAAAGCCCACACAGAGCTTCAAGGATTAATCCGAACAGAGTGAACGACTTTGCTTCCTGCAAAGGTTTCTTCACCTTTGCCTGTCCTTTATACCTTAGGGGAGGGGCAATCACATCCCAGCCTTACTTCCAAGTTGCCCCTTTTGTTTCAGATGCTCTTGCCTTCTAGCAGCTCTGTGCACATACGCACTGGGAACAGGCTCCCCTTGTTCCTCTGCCTCGCTGCTGCCAGACTCCGGAAGCTCCGGAGTCAGTACTCCACTCCCAGATGGTCCTGGCCCCATCTCTGCATCGGATGCAGGACCCTCATCCGAGTCCTCTCCAGACTCCCAGACTGGTCCCCTTTCTTCCCCACTGTCCGATTCCACTGCCATCTGCATACAACTACAAGATAAGTTATTTTTTTCAGTACCATTGTAATTGTGAATGGTCACTAAATGAGTTGAATAACACAATCGTTATTCAGTGCTTGGTAATCAGCCGTCATTTATGATCAATTGCAACATCTTGCAGTCATGTGGCCGCGATTTGTGGCATATTTTTACTAGTTTTCTGACCAAAAACACCCAATTCAGAACAATGGATTATTTAACGACTATGTGATTTGCTTAACGATGGCTGTTAAGAAAATGGTCGTAACACTGAGTGTGGTACATCAACTTACAATCACAAGGACTTATGCCCAAACTTCTAGGTTGTTTTGTGGTTGTAAATTAAACTGTTGTAAGTTGAGGACCACCTGTATTCCAGTCACAGGAAACTTTATTTAGAGGTGAGAATCTGTATATAAAAGACCAAGAACTGGTCAAGTGATTTGGAGAAATTCGCTCCAGAGGACAACCATTTTTTAAAATGGTCTCTTCCAGATCTACTATTCTGTTGGTAGCTTTCTTCCTTGTCTTTGGTGGGCTGTAAATCTCTCTGCCTCTAATCGCATGATATAAAGGGAGTCATTTTGGTGGGTGACATCCATCATTTGTGGACTAGGTTATATATTTATCCCCGGTTTCGTTCCTCTTACTTTCTCTTTTCCTTAAATTTGGGATTTTCTGAAGTTCAACTCTATGGAAACCACAATCCCTGCCCTGCCATAAGCACTGACATCGACAGGCCTTGGAAAGACGGGTGGACTTGAACCCAGAATATCAGAGTAGTAAAGCATCTTTAAAAAAATGGAGTGTCAGTCACATCAGGTGCCTGGGTTTTTATTGATTGATTGATTGATTGATTTGATTTGATTTGATTTGTCAATCTCATACAAGGTAAGTATAAGCATAAGGTATACTTATATAGGTATAAGTATAAACATGAGTAAGAATACAGGAAACAGGTATGAATAAATGGGGACAATAGGACAGGGATGAGAGGCACGATGGTGCACTTATGCATGCCCTTGCAGACCTCTTAGGAATGGGGTGAGGTCAATAGTGGTTAGTTTGAGGTTAAAGGAGTGGGGGGTTAGAGGATGTAACAACAGAGTCAGGTAGTGGATTCCAGGCATTGACAACTCTGTTGCTGGAGTCGTGCTTTCTGCAATCAAGTTTGGAGCGGCTTACATTGAGTTTGTATCTGTTGTGTACTCTTCTATTGTTGCGGTTGAAGCTGAAGTAGTCATTGACGGGTAGGACGTTGTAGCAGATAATTTTGTGTGCTTCGCTTAAGTCTAACCATAGGCAGCGTAGTTCCAGGTTGTCCAAGCCCAAAATCTCAAGCTTGGTGATACCGGGTATTCTGTTGCGAGCAGAGGAGCAGAGTAACTCTTCTCATGAAATACTTCTGGACTCGCTCAATTGTATTAATGTCTGAGTTCTTGACTTTCCCCTACAGACCCCTCTTGTGGGTCAGCTGAGTGGGCTTTCCATGGAGAGAGACCACCCGAAAAGGCTATCTATCTATTTATCTATCTATCTATCATCTATCTTCACCATCATCTATGTCTAACTTCCTACCTCTCTCTCTCTCTTTCCAACTATCTATCATCCATCCCTCCATCCATCTCTACTTTGATCTCTCTCCCTTTCATTCATCCATCCATTCATCCATCTCTATCAATTTATTTCTATAGTCTCTCTCTCTCTCTCTCCATCAGTATTTCTATTTATTTATCTATCTGCCTACTTCACATCAGTCTTAAATACTAACCTGAGACTTTATTTTTTATTTAGATACTTCTAGGCACTGACCCATGTTGGCAATGAATGTTACTTTCAAGAAGTGCAAACCACATTTTGATAATTCTCCAGAATTCACCCAATTCCCCAGGGAGGTGTATTTCAAACCAATACCCAATGATTCTATAATTCTATTTTTTTGTTTAAAAAAAATGATGCAGACTTTTAATATGTGTTTATTTAAAGCCGGGCAGCTTTCAGACATATGGACATATGGAATTCCTCAGCCAGAAAATCCACCCATCTGGAATTGGCCAAGTTGAGGAAAAATTGATTTAATTGCTAATGGATTGTAACCATATTGTTTGGGTTTCTGTTTTAATTATATTGATTTTAGCGTCACGTTTTACATTGAGGGGTTTTTAAAACTGCAACTGTCGTCGCATTTGTTTCTGTGTTCCAGCTCTTTCCACACGAATGTAACGCACCCTTGAGCTGTTGGGCATTAGACCTTCTATAAATCCTGTCAGGGAATTGCGCAGCAGGCGTCCAAATGAAGTCAGAGACATGACACGAATTTGTAGTTTTATATAAATAAATATAGTTTACATCTTTATTTACAGCAAGAGAGAGTCGGCCTCTGCAGTCCCTCTGGAGGCTGAAAAACAGGCCCGTTTGGTCACTTCCTGTATTTCTAGAAATACCGGAAGTGACCACACAGGCCCATTTTTTAGCCTCTAAAGCAGGGGTCTCCAACCTTGGCAACTTTAAGCCTGGAGGACTTCAACTCCCAGAATTCCCCAGCCAGCTTTGAATTCTTGGAGTTGAAGTCCTCCAGGCTTTGAATTCTGGGAGCTGAAGTCCTCCAGGCTTTGAATTCTGGGAGTTTAAGTCCTCCAGGCTTAAAGTTGCCAAGGTTGGAGACCCCTGCTCTAAAGGCTGCAGAGGTTTCCCTCGAGCCTCTGGCAGGCCGAAAAAGTCCTGAAAATCAGCTGGGAGGCACGTGCATGCGCAGTGCAGATAAGGGGGCGGCAGTGGGGGAGATCACGCGCGCATGCGCAGGGGGCGTGGTGGGGTTCGCATTGCCTTCTGGGTGCTGGCATGTGAGCGAGCGAGCGTGCGTGCGTGCAATTTTCGGCACAGGAGCCCCAAAAGGTTATCCACCACTGTTGTAGGGTTTCCTGCCTGAACAGGGGGTTGGACTAGAAGACCTCTAAGATCCCTTCCAAGCATATTATTTCTGTGCTGTAAGTCTAATAACTTCATCTGCACGTTCTCGATGGTCTTAAAAATGTAAATGTTTCAAATGATTTAAGGTACGATGGCTGGTAGAAATCAATATCTATGATCCCATTTGGTCATCCTCCCCCTATGGAAGACTGTTATTTGTGGTCCCTCACCTCATGAATCTCTCTAATCTGCTTTAAAATCTATCCAAGTTAATGGTCACCAGTGCCACCATGTCTTCTGAGACTCAGCTCCTCCGTCAATCATAAAGACGTAACATAGGAACTTAAGAAAAACAGTAAAAAAATGACTTAAAAGAGACAGTTCTGTCAAAGGATTTTCTTTCTCACGGTGACAAATTGGATGCATCTGGAAGGTTCCTAAAACAAGATGGCGGCCTACCTTTCTCTCATCATTATTCTCCTACAATTGGTTCAACTGGAGGTAATGTTGAGTCAGAATCACAGAGTTGAAAGGGACCTTGGAGGTCTTCTAGTCCAACCCACTGCTCAGCAGGAAACCCTATACCATTCCGCACAAGTTGTCTAGTCTCTTCTTAAAAACCTCCCGTGTTGGAGCACTCACAACTTCTGAAGACAAGTAGTTCCACTGATTAATTGTTCTAATATTTCTAATTGTTCAGGAAGATCTAGGTCGCTTCTCTCTCCTTGTTTAGTTTCCATCCTTATTGCTTCTTGTCCTGCCTTCAAGGGCTTTGGAGAAGAGCTTGACTCCCTCTTCTTTGGGGCAGCCCCTCAAATATTAAAACACTGCTATCATGTCACTCCTAGTCTTTCTTTTCAGTAAACCAATTCCAACAACCTTTTTTATATGTTTTAGCGTCCAGTCCCCTAATCATCTTCTCTGTATTCTTTCTAAAATCTCAACATCTTTTTTATATCATGGCAATCAAAGCTGGATGGAGTATTCCAAGTGGAATCTTACCAAGGCCTGATAAAGCAGTGCTAATATTTCATGGGATCTTGATTCTATCCTTCTGTTAATGCAGTTTAGGATTCTGTTGGCTACTTTTAGCAGTTGCCGGACATTGCTGGCTCACATTGAAGTGATTGTCCATTAGGATCCCAAGATCCCCCCTCAAAATTGCTACTATTGAGCTGGGTATCACCTGTGCATTTGGGTTTTTTGTGCCTAAATGTAGACCAAGGGTCTTCAAACTTGGCAAGTTTAAGACTTCAACTCCCAGAATTCCTAAGCTAACATGACTGGAGGAGGAATTCTGGGAGCTGAAGTCCACAAGTCTTAAAGCTGTCACAAGTTTGAAGAGTCCTGATGTAGACTCATCATCCATGGAGATGTTTCTTAGATGAGAGGAGGTTGGATGAGTGAGGTCATGAGATCACAAAGGCCAATAGACACAAAAGCCCTGGGAAAGTTGGCTTGCTAACTTTGAGGGAAAGCTGAGAAGCTTCCAGGAGAGGTCAACCAACACCAACCAAGTTCTAATCACCAGATTTTGTTTCAAGCCGTGGGTATTCGACTTCACCACCAACATTCTAATTTCATGGATGTTCTAAGGCCTACCAAGTTGATGCTCCAACAAAAGACCCTTGAAGTCCTTCAGAAGAGACCAGTCCTTGATTTATAGCTAGTATGTCTTTGGTTTTCCCAGCGTTTGTACATGTGATAATGGTGCTCCTTCTTCATCTAACCACCAACGAAGCCTTGATCCGGGCAGTTTACAACCATAACAGCATCAGTCAAGATTTTGAAACTATGAATTCTGATTTTGGCCCCGTGCTCCAAAGTGAAGGTCTTCTTGGATACCTCATTGAAGCCAAACCAGCCAATGCTTGCCAACCGATCAACGCGCCACCTCTAACCAACAGCACTTCGGTGACCTACGTGGCTCTCATCCAGAGAAACGACTGTTCCTTTACCACCAAGGTTCTCCATGCTCAGCAAGCTGGCTACCAAGCCGCCGTCATCCACAATGTCAATTCCCAAGCCCTGGTCACCATGTTGGGGAAGGAAGACTTGAAGCATCAAGTCAACATCCCATCCCTGTTCATAGGCGAATCGGCCTCCATCCAACTCAAGAGGATCTTCCATTACGACCGGACGGCCTACATCATCCTGATTCCCGAGTGCCACTGGCTCTCCTGTTGTGATCTCCAACACAACTGCCAACTCCATCTCCATCCGATGAGGCCAAGGCATTCTAAGCCGGCGTGGCCTTGTATGTCCACTCGTTCCCACATCTTTGGCAGCACGCCTTACCTGTTCATTGGTTTCACGCTGGGCATCTGGATCCTGGCTTTCTACATCCTATGGTTTCTCTAATGGCTTTTGGTGGACTCTGGGATTTCGGCACTACCAAAGGTGGTTTTGGATGTCTTTTCGGGAAACTTGTCAAATTAATACAGAACCTGTAGACCAGACCATCTAGGTTTGGGGAGTTTTTTGATCTGTGTTCTTCTTCCTCTTTCCATCTCCCCCACTATTGAATCAAAGATATGAAGCTGTTCCCCCCACCTCTTAGACTGGTCCCACCCTCTCAGGCCAAGAGCCAATCCATTGCTGGACGAGGAGGGGGAAGACTTCAGTTTTTGTTCTCTCTCATCCACAGAAGCTCATTGGCTAACTCTGGGTCGGTCCCTCCTTCTCGGGCCAACCAGGGATAGTGGAGAAGGGACTGAACTAGGAGGGGGCAGGGTGATCTGGGTTCTAGTCCTCCATCCACAGAAGAACATTGGATGACTGGGATGCTCCCACCCTCTCAGGTCAAGAACCAATCAGGTGCTGGACTAGGGTTCTAGTTATCCACAAAAGCTCATTGGCTGACTCTGGGTCAGTCCCTCCTTCTTGGGCCAATCCGGGGTAGAGGAGAAGGGGCTGGACTTGGAGGGTGGAGATCTGAGTTCTAGTCCTCTTTCATCCACAGAAGCTCTTTGGCTGACTCTGGGCCGGTCCCTCTCTTTCAGGCCAAGAGCCAATCCGGTGTAGTGGCGAAGGGGCTGGACTAGGATGGGGGAGACCGGGGTTCTGGTCAGCTACAGAAGCTCATTGGCTGACTCTGAATCAGTACTTCCCTTGCAGCACTTCTCTCTCAGGCCAAGAGCCAATCAGGCCTAGTGGAGAATGGAGGTCGGTGTGTTCCAGTCCCGCTCAGTCGTGCAAGCTCATTGGATGACTTTGGGCCAATCCCTCCTCCTCAGCTCAACAATCAATCAGGTGTAATGGAGAATGAAAAAAGTGTTCTGTCTCACCTGTGGCCACGAGGTGAGAGTCCCAATGTCCAAAGGAAAAAAACACGAACAGACAATATCAGGAACTAACAGAGTTAACTTTCCTTTGGCGGAATTCGTCGTTGGCAGATTTCCCAGAAGCTGTCTGCAAATTCTGATAACGAGCAGAACTATAAATCAGAGACGAACGGCAAACAAAATACTTTGTCCAAACTGCAGGCGCAAATTAACAAATTTGACCTAAACGGGGATTCAAAGCTAACACCCCTCCTTATATTCCCTGAGGGTCGTGTCAGTCTCTTTCCTCAGTCCCTGATTCGACGTCTCCTTCCAGTTTGTGCTTGACGTTTCTGCTTACGTCTGTTCCTTGCATCAAACCAACTTTCTTCGGTTTGATCTTCATCCAAGGACTCCGGCACATTCTCCTGCTTATCTGCCGAGACCTGAGGCATAACTAATGAGGAAGGTCCTGGAGAGGATGAGGATTCCGAAACTTCCAGCAAAGCAGGTTCAAACCCCAATGCCAAGTCCTCCTCTTCCTCCTGACTCCCATTTATGTCACTCAACAAGGCAGGCTCAAACCTTAATGCCAGATCTTCCTCATCACTCGAGCCTATGTCTTCTGACAGAGCAGGTTCAAACCTCTGAGTCACAACGAAAAAGGATTAGGAGGTGAGAGAGACCTGGGTTCCAGTCCAACTAAGTCACCTATTGGCTGATTCTGGATCTGATTCACACACACACCCCTTCTCAGTCCAAGAGCCAATCGGGCATAGGGGAGAATGACCCCGACTGGGGTGGTGAGACCCGAGTTCTAATCCCCCTCAGCCATGAAAACTCACTGGAAAAGTTGGAGCTATTTCATTCCAGCATGATTAGGGGACTAGAGATTAAAAACATATCGAAGAACGGTTGCAGGAAATGGGTATGTCTAGTTTAATGAAAAGAAGGACTAGGGGAGACATGATAGCAGTCTTCCAATATCTCAGGGGCTGCCCCAAAGAAGAGGGAGTCAAGCTATTCTCCAAAGCACCTGAAGGCAGGACAAGAAGCAATGGGTGGAAACTAATCAAAGAGAGAAGCAACCTAGAATTAAGGAGAGATTTCCTGACAGTGAGAACAGTTAATCAGTGGAACGACCTGCCTCCAGAAGTTATGAGTGCTCCAACACTGGAGGTTTTGAAGAAGACATTAGACAGCCATTTATCCAGGATGGCATAAAGGCCCACCTACTTGAGCACAGGGTTGGACTAGATGACCTCCAAGGTCCCTCCCAAGTCTGTTATTCTATTACGAGAAATATTAGTGGGAAAGAGAGGTTACCTATGCTTTGGGATCAAGGTTTGCAATACCGGCCTGCCCAACAAATATAGGTTGTAAATGCGACCATCGTCAACCATGAGCAGAGAGCCGGAGTTGAAAATTGGTGCATCCCCCCCCCTTCCCCTTTCATACATCCCTCCTTTTCTTTCTCCTCTTATCTCTTCCTCCCTTTTTCCTCTCCTCCACTCTTCCATTCCCTGCCGGAGGTAGCTCACCGCAGTTCTAAATTAGGGATTAAAAAGCATTTCATCACAGTTCCAGCTGTGAGCGAATTGAAATCCTTTCCTCCCAGCAGATCCCTGGCAAGGACAAATGCCAGCAGAAATCAAGCACAACTTTTGTGTGTGTGTGTGTGTGTGTGTGGGTAGGTGGGTGGGTGTCCCTTTCCCCAGACACACACATTTGTTAATGCATAGGAATGATGCACTGGTGGGATTCGCATAATTTAACAACCGGTTCTCTGCTCTAATAATTCCTTCCAATAACCAGTTCACCAAACTGCTCAGAAAGTTAACAACTGGTGCTCCCAAACTGGGGCAAACTGGCTGAATCCCATCACTGAGTTAGGGGGTTTCCTCTATTTGTCTTTTGCTTTAAAAAAATCTTATTACAGGAAGTCCTGTAGGGCACTGGAGACTAAAACATATGAAGATTGGTTGCAGGAACTGGGCCTGGCTAGTCTAGGGAAGAGAAGGACCAGGGGAGACAGGAGAGCAGTCTTCCAATATTTGAGGGGCTGCCACAGAGAGGAGGAAGGGGGTCAAGCTATTTTCCAAAGCTCCTATAGGCCGGACAAGGAATAATGGATGGAAACTGATCCAGGAGAGATTCAACCTGGAAATAAGGAGAAACTTTCCGACAGAACCATCAACCCATGGAACAGAAGTTGCCTTCAGAAGTTGTGGAAGCGCCATCACTTGAGACTTTCAAGAAGAGATTGGACTCCCATCTGTCAGAAATGGCGTAGGGTCTCCTGCTTGGGCGGCAGAGGGGGTTGGACTAGATGACCTACAAGGTCCCTTCCAACTCTGATTATCTGTTATCTGTTATCCTCAACTAACAAATGTTGGTTTAGCGACTGTTCGAAGTTACAACAGCACTGGAAAAAAGTGACTTATGACCGTTTCTCACACTTACGAACGTTGCAGCCTCCCCATGGACACGTGATCAAAATCCAGATGCTTAGCAACTGGCTCATACTTACAACAGTTGTTGTGTTTCTGGGGTCACATGACACCCCCCCCTTTTGCCACCTCCTGACAAACCAAGTTAATGAGGGAAGCCAGATTCACTTAACAACCGTGTGGCTAACTTGACAATTGTAGTGTGTTAGGATTCCGGCAGTTATGCCCTATTTAAATCATGAGACTCGAGCCAAACTTCCAAAACTTCAAAAGGATTTATTGGGAGTTAACATGTCTAGCACTGCCTGGGTGTAGCCGACTCTGAGACACGTAATTCACTGTCACCCTTGACCTTGGGTTTCCCCCACTCCCTGGTATATCATATATACATAAACATATATATACATACATATCTCTATGTCTATCTCTATGTCTATCTCTATGACTATATGTCTATGTCTATGTCTCTCTCTCTCTCTCTATCTCTCTCTCTATCTCTATCTCTATCTCTATCTCTATCTCTCCATCTCTCTCT